TTCACCTAAGCTCAGAGACAGCCAGCCATGGACTAAACCTTTGATATTGTGAGCCCAGAATACATCTACCCTCTTCTATGTTGTTCTTATCAGATATTTTGGTCAGAGATAAAAAGCTGACTAACCCAAAGGTCAAGTTTCATTCTTTTGCATGTGGATATCCAATTAAGCAGCAGCATTCACTGAAGAGACTGTCGTTTCTCCAAATTGTGTTCTTAGCACCTTTGTCAAAAATCAGCTGGCTATACAAGGGTAGGTTTATTTCTAGTATCTCTGTTCTGTTCCACTGGCCTACGTRTCTATTTTTATGCCAATACCATACTGCTTTCATTACTCCAACTTGGTAGTATAGTCTTTGAGGTTGGGGTAGTGTTACCTTCTGCTGTATTGTTTTTGCTCAAGACTGCTTTATCTTATCAGGGATTTTGTGGACTTTCATTGAATCTGTAGATCAATTTGGAAAGTATGAAGATTTTTAACAATATTGATTTTCCAATTCATAAACACAGGATGTGTTTCTATTTTAGTGCTCCTCCTCAATTTCTTTCATCAATGCTTTATTGTTTTCCTTGTAGAGCTCTATCACCTCTTTGTTTAAATTTACTCATAGGCATTGTATTTTAAAGAGATCAATTTTATCCCATATTCCAAGTGTATTCTTAGATAACTATATCTGATACCGGTCAGCAAAAAGCAATTAGTGTTGAGCATGGTGACATATGCCTGTAATACCAGCAATTGAGGAGGATGAGGCAGCCTCAATTACTTAGCCAGATCCTGTCTCAAAATCAACTAATAAAAAGGGGGATGTGTCTCAGTGGTCAAGAACCCCTGAGTACAATTGTTAAGAGTCTGTAAACAAGTCAGGATGGCGCCTGGCAAATGTTAGAGTCTGTAAACAAGTCTGGATGGTGCCTGGCATTTTGCAGAGGGAGTGGTTTGCGAAGTACCRCCAGCGAGCAATTAAGTGTGGAGATTTCTTATTGGTTGACTGCTGTATCTAGTTTGTTAATTAAGATAAGCTGTGTGGAATGTATAAATACCTCTGTTATCCTACAAATGTGTATCAATGTACACAAGTTGTTCGTCACCCCCCAGTTATTTTGCCCAACCAGCAGGGCTGAGGCATACAATCTCCAGTACAAAAAAAAAAAAAACAATTAGAAACAAAACACCAACCTTTAATAATTTTGATGTGAACTAGGAATACCTAAATGAATTTCAGCAGTAAATGAAATACTATCCTATGAAAATCTATTATGCTATATAAAATATTACATAAACATGTCAGGAATTGAAGATGAATGTTATAATTATATTGAAAAATAAGTTTACTTTTAACATGTTTTTTCACCTTGTTTTTTGTTCATGTTTGCTTATTTTATTATTTCACATTACATGTTGTTTTATTTCAAACAACTTGTAAACATTCTTTCTTGAAATAACATGTTGATTTAGAATTAAGTTCATTATTAAATGAGCATTAAAACCATGTTTCTTTTTAAAAGTTGGGTTTCTTAATGTATAACAGAGTGTTTCTTGTTGGATGTAGATTTCAATGAGTTTTGAACAATACTAGGCTTGTGTAATCATCACCACAAAGAAGTTAAAGAATTCAAAAATTTCTTCATAACTCTTTCTATTCAGTTTTTCATGTTTATTAGTCATTTCTATAGTCTTATTCCAGTCGTAGGCAACTTCTCATAATTTCAATCTCAAAAGTCTGACATTTCTAGAATTTTCCAGTAAATTCCCCTCCACACCTTTTTTTTTTTTTTTTTTTTTTTTTTCCTGTGCTGGGGGTTGAATTTAGCACCTTGTATATGCTAGGCAAGCAGTCTATCACCAAACTACATACCCAGCTCGAAGACAGTCTTTGACCCTGGCTTTTCTCATTCGGCAGAATATTTCTCTGAGATTTACTAATAGGATTATCCATGTCAGTAATTTGCTCCTTTTTATTGTTAAGAATATTCTACTATGTGGCTATCACAAATCATCATCCATTGAACAGTTAATGGGCACCTGAGTTGCTTCCAGTTTTCAGCATTTACAAACAAAGCTGCCTTTAATATTCTTTGTGCCTTAAATAGGTCTTTGTGTAGACATATACTGTCATTTCTTTTGAATAAATACCTAGGAGTAGGACTCCTGAGTCATATAGTTGGGTGCATGCATAACTCAAACTCTTCCAAAGTGCTTTATCATTTATAAACCAGCCAGCAAAATATCAGAGTTCCAACCTCCAAGTTCTCATAAATACTTAATATCATTTTTTTAAAGATTATAATCATTCCTATGGTGTGGTATTGCATCTTACTGTGGCCATAATTCGTAACTTTCTTTATTTGGGCGGGGGGGGGACCTAGGGGCGCTCAACCACTGAACCACATCCCCAGCCCTATTTTGTGTTTTATTTAGAGACAAGGTCTCACTGAGCTGCTTAGCACCTCACTGTTGCTGAGGCTCACTTTGAACTCGAAATCCCCATGCCTTAGCGTCCTAAACTGATGAGATTACAGGAGTGCACCACCGAACCCAGCCATAATCCCTAATTTTCTACTGACCATGTCGAATAGTTTTCCATATGCTTATTGGTCATCTTCGTATCTTCTTTAGAAAAAAAATCCATTTAAATTATCTGTCCAGTTTTTAACTGTATTTTTATTACTGAGTAAGACTTTATATATTCTGGATATCAGCCCTTTGTCAAATAAACGATTTGCTAATATTTCTTTTTATTTTATGGGTTGTCTTTTCACTTTGATAGTTTTTTTTTTCAATTGCAGTCGGACACTATTTATTTATTTATTTGTTTGTTTATTTATTTATTTATTTATTTGATGTGGTGCTGAGGATCGAACTCCTCACACGTTCTTACTGCTGAGCCACAACCCAGCCCCTGATAGTGTTTTTGAAACACAAAATTTTTAGTTTTGATGATTTTATCAATTTTCCTTGTAATTTTGATATTTTATCTAAGAAACAACTGCTTAATCCAAGATCGTGAAGATTTATACCTGTTTTCTTCTGAGAGTTTTATAGTCGTAGCTCTTTTTTATAAATTAATTTTTGTATATAGTATGAAGTAGGAGTTCCACCTTCATTCTCTTACATACAAGGATATCCAGTTGCCTGAGTACCATTTGTTGAGGATACTATCTATCTTCTTTCACATGTTTGCAACTATTTTCTCCCAGCCTATGGTTTATCTTTTCACTTAGTTTCTCTTTTGCTTGTGTGTTAGTTTGCTGATTTTTGTGGTATTGACGACTGAACCCAGGGACACTAAGTTAGATTCCCAACCCCTTTACATTTCTTAGAGACAGGGTCTCACTAAATTGCCCACACTGCCTCAAACTTATCTTCCTGTTTTAGCCTCCCAAATTGTTAGGATTACAGCTGTGCACCACTATGCCTGGCAATCTGAGTACTTTGACATTTTAATACTAATCTCTCTTTTCCTTCCGTTCTCTTTTATTTAGATCTTGTCTAATTTATGTCTGCAGTATTGTATAGTTCTTAGTATATAGATAGGTCTCACACATTACTTTGCCAAATATACTCCCCAAAATTAAGAAAGCATATATTCCAATTCTTGCCACACACTTTTACAAAATTATACCCAYTCTTGGCACCATCTTGTCTACCATCAAATAAGAAAGTGTATTTCTCCATCTTCCTAGTTCTTTCACAATATATTATCAAGTAGGGAGGTAAATAAATGTAAACATTAAAAGAACTGTACTGTTATTTCAGTAGAATATGAGAAATTATTAAAAGTTTTATACTTAAAAAGTTCCCAATTCAGAAGCTGGTACCATATTCTAAAATAAAATTGAGACTGAATTTTTTTTTTCAAAGCAGAAATTGGAAGAACATAAAATTGATAAAAAGAAAAAAAAATTCTATGGCAAGATAASAAAATATAGAAATGATAAAAGTAAATAACAACAAAGTAAAAGAATATGACTATTTATTAAGATAAAACTTTTGTAATAAAACATATGTAATCAAAATGGAAAGATAACAACAAAACAAACCCAATCTAAATGCAGTAATATGTATGGTTTAGGAACAGAAATAAATTAGTAAGGGAGGATTTTATGATCTAGTTCTTATTACTAGTTCCTTATGATTGAAAGTCTGAAACTATTTTAAGTCATGTAATCATATTTTAAATTTTAATATGAAAATCCAAAATGGAATCTCTAGGAAAAAAATTTATAGGGGCTGGGGTTGTGGCTCAGTGGTAGAGTGCTTTGTCTAGCATGCGTGAGGCTCTGGGTTCAATTCTCAGAACCATATACAAATAAGCAAAATAAAGGCCAACAACAACTAAAAAATATTTTTTAAAAAATTTTATGAAACTTAAATATAAAACAATTTTCATGGACAAAATCCTCATATCCTAAGAGTTTTTCATGTCATTTATTTATTTTTACCTGTGTTTTCAAATAATGAATTCATTTATAAAAGAAAAATATGAAAAAGATACAAAACAAAATACAACATATAATTGAAACACAGTGTGTGTGTGTGTGTGTGTGTGTGTGTGTGTGTGTGTGCCGCAACTGGGGATTGAACTCAGTGACACTCAACCACTGAGCCACATCACATTCCTAGTCCTTATTTATATTTTATTTAGAGACAGGGTCTCACTGAGTAGTTTAGTACCTCACTGTTGCTTAGACTGGCTTTGMACTTGCAATCCTCCTGTCTCAGCCTCCAGAGCCTGAGCCCAGCTTATATATGCACTTTTTAACATACTTATTTCTGCTATTTATTTTCATCCGCTTCTCTGAAAATTACTTTGAATATTTTTCCACTAGACACTCAAACTAGCTAATAAAGTTTCTTTCACATTTTCTACTAATATTATGCAGGAATTATTGATAAAATAACCAAAAAATACAAGGAAAAAAGAAAGGATTAAATTATTTAAATTAAGATGTAGTTATATACAATCTGCCATTGACCTCCGCAAAAAAATTACTTACATCTGCTTAAAAAGTTGTCAATATTTTTGTTTTTTCTTAAGGCAGGAAAATCCAAATCATATACCAAAGCATCCAATCCATCCTAAAGAAACAAAAAAACAGTTAGTTTTTTTGGATCACATTAAAGAATTTTGCTTTTTTAAGATTAAAGAATAGAAGCTACACTTAATATTTAATTTCCCATCTCTAATATATCTTGTGTTCATTTAACACAAGATTTTTACACCCTTTTACAGGTTAGTGAGTAATGAAATTAGATAAAAGCTGTTTTTATTTCATATGTAGATTTTCCACTTTCTAAACCGGCCAGGCACAGGAACAGGAAAATCACCACAGATGAGCAGCAGGTGATTTTAATTCATGCATTTTTCTCCACATAAGGGCATGCCGTTTTACATTTTACCTCCTCTTTATTTTCATTTCACAAGTATACATCAAAAACCTACATTTCTCACTACAAATACTTTACAAGGTAATAGCTAAATAGTTAATGAAGCATGAAGTTTAGTATAAATTCCACATAATCCCAAACACAAGTTATATACACATATTTAATTCTAAAAATGTATTAAGTTTTCATAGAGTTCTTTCTTTCTTTAAAGCACTTTCTAGGGCAACCAGTAGTAAAGGACAAGCATGAACGTTTGCTTTTCAGTAGATATTTACTAACCAAGTACCAGGGCACTGTGAAGGTRTACCAGTCAGTGTTGGAATGGAAAGGCACTTATTCAGACTATACATCCTGCCATTCAGGTAATTCTAACCTATCTCCATTACAAAGTGTCACCCTCTGGTAAATGTGGTTTGTTTAACAATGATGAATAATGATGAAGAATGAGTTGAGTCACACTTAAAAAGAATCACTTGCAGAGTTGTTGAAAAAAAATGAGCATTAAAAAAAAGCACTTGCTTTTTAAAGGAAAAAATAGTGTATTCACATGCTACTACTGGGAGGTCAAGTCACATAACCTTTCTGAGCCTCAGTTTTCTTTATTGAAAAATAAGGATAATGAACACCTATCTGCAACTCATATAATAAATTTGTGACAAGAAAGCAAAGTAAGAGAAATGTTTAGCCCTTAATAATACCACTTCTCTATTTCTGTAGCTAACATCAGAAAGCTCTACAAGTTAGTCTCCCTGTTGATAGAAATGACATTAAAAAAAAAAAAAAACACCTTCTAATCATAAAACCTTAAGAGTAAATCTTAGATCATGATGTCAAAAATCTTCCTCAATGCAGTAATCCCATCTGGCTTATTTTGGTCATAGTATTTGATTATGTATTTGTCAACGAAAGACTAGCTGACTCCACTAACTGCTTATGATCACTATGTGTTTGGACCTATCACTGTATGCTTTAATTTTACAGTAATAGGAGATAGTCTATTGCTTTTTCAGTATCATCCATATGCAAAAATCACATACCTCTTATCAGAGAGAGAAAACTGGCAAGAAGGTATTCTAGCATAATTTAAAGCATATTCCAACTGAGGCTAAGGGAGTGAAGACACTAGAATGAGGCACAGAGGTGCAAGCTTCCCCTTTAATACAGAGAAGAAGTTATACAATATAAGCCATGTGCATACCCAACCATAAATTGGGGCAAGGAATCCGGACTTTCACTCAATGTTTTAAATTCTGTAACAAAATGAAGAAAATACTTCTGCATTTCCTAAAGTTAAAATTTTGATAAAGGGATTCAGTACCTTAACAGAAATTAATAGTCTTCCAAGTGCAAAAACAAATGACAAGGAATGACAGCTTAAGCATATAGCCTTACTTCTCCTTCATTAAATTTCATGATTTAGAAATGAAGCAAAGCTACAATCTACTTTCACAACATGTTTATCACCTAGCTTAATCATAAATTTAAGAATGCAGGAGACTGGGCACAGTGGCACATGCTTATAATCACAATGGAGGCGGAGGCAGGAGGATCAGTAGCTCAAAGCCAGCCCCCAAAACTTAGCAAAGCCCTAAGCAACTCAACACAACCCTTCTCTAAATAAGATATATTAAAGGGGGAGAGGGGGCTGGCGATGAGGCTCAGTGGTTAAGTGCCTTTGGCTTCAATTCCCAGTACACCCCCCCCCAAAAAAAAAAGAATGTAGAGGACAGCATATATAAAAAAGGGACCAATAAATGCTAAAGAATTACAATAATTAAATTGTTTGCTACTAATAGTTAAACAATGGTAGTATACCAGTTATAGAAGTAATATTTTAAAAGAAGCTAGTCATGTAGAAAAGCATTTTCTCATATATATACACAAAGACATGCATAACTAATTGCAAGTATAACATTGTCCAAGATTATCTTTAAAGTATGAACATTTCTTATGTCCTGAGAAGCACTGATATGTGTTGGGGTAGCTGGGCTATCTCAGAACAGAGCTGTAAAAGGTAAAAGAAAAAAAGCTGTAAAAGGTAAAAGTAAAAGGTAGAAGAAAATTATTCACTTGAACACTTGTACAAACCTTAGTTTTACAAGATACTCTTACAAAAATAAGAGTCCTATATAAAATACCACTTCAGATTAGATCTATTAAACAATAACATGTTTATTATAAGGCAAGAGAACATAAAAATCATAGAAAAAATGGTATGTTATATACATATATGAAATATTCATTTTTAGGTAAATTTTCAAAATCTAAGTGTTTATTATTCTAAACCTAACAGACATATTTGGGGAGAAATTACCCTGAAAAATACCAGAGCTTTTGAAAGCCAAGTTATTTCTAAACTAGACTGAATACTGCTACTAAAAGAACGATCCAAACTTTGATGACAGAGGATAATACKATTTAAAGAAAATGTTTAGTATTATGAAGTAGAATGTTTTCAGTAAATCCCTTCACTCACTAGTAAAGAAATAAGAAATTCTCAAAATTAAACACTAACATGAAAATGAAAACAGAACTGCCTTAGAAAATTTTAACAAACTAAATACAATTAAAATGTGTTTAATAAGTGTCACATTACTGTATTCATCACCTTGCTGTATTCATATCAATCAGGGCAATTATAATGAAAAAACAAACTGTTCCAAGTTACTCAGACCACCAAATAATGGCTTTTCCCAATTAGTCTCCAACAATGCCCTTGCAGTATCATTTTCTCCGCATTCATATAGCTAGGCTTGAGCTGCAGAGTACAGTAATTTCCCAAATAAGCCTTACTCACTCTATCCCACTGCCTTTGCACCTGCTCTAGTCTCCAGCTGGAATGTGAACACTCATATTCAGACTGCCTCAAATATCCATTACTTTTTGCTGCCTTCCCAAAGATCCTGCTATGTTAATAAAGACTTCCTTTGTTCTCCCTATTATAAGAATTGTTACATTTAAATACTATATTATAATTATTTATTTATGAATCAGTCTCCTCTTTTGTAGGGAAACAGAAAAAATAATAAACTTCTCAGGGAGTTCACAAGTAGGTAGAAAAAGAAAATACAAGATATCAAGTATTATAAGTAGGTCCTACATAAACAAAGAAAAGACTGTCTGATCTTTGGGGCTTTAGAGAGGTCATAAATTTGGGCTGAATCTTGAAGAACAGAACTTGGAATAAGATGGAGGTGGGTCAAAGCAATCAAAAAAGAGGGAAAAAAAGGAGAAGTTAGAGAATAAAAATATAATGTTCTAGATTGGGAAGAGTAAGAAGGAAGTTCAAGAAACAAAAAAAATGAAGACGGGTTAAGGAATGTTAAAGGTATGACATACCAGGCCAAGAATTTGGGTATTTATCTTTGGATATCCATTTGAAAAGAGGAATGGGGGGGGTGACATACTGGTTTTTATTTTAATAAAGTCTGGCAATGAAAAAGCTGGCAAATTAGATCCAGAAGAAACTGGAAGAAAGTGGAACAATTTAGAAGGATGATGTGGCAATTCAAGAAAAAGAGAGTAAAAGACTGAACTACACTGGGGAAATGGGAATGGAGCCCTAGAAGCAAAAGAACCTGATGAATGACTAACTGAAGGAGGAACAGGAAGGGTTAAGAATGATTATATCTTCTAATTTATATGAGTAGACAGTGACTTCATTAACCAAGGCAGAAAATGTAAGCTGGAAAGATAAATGCTTTAGACATAATAAATTTGAAGTCCCCAAGGGACATCATTTTAAAGATAACTATTGCAGTTGAAAATATGAGTTTGACTTCAACTAAGAGACTGGGACTATTATATACACTTGGGAGTCACRAGAGCACACTTAATCCATGAGAACAGATGCAGTTGCCCAACAAGAGCAAACAGAATGAAGAAAAGAACCTTGGGAAACATTGACATTTGAGAGGTAAGCTGGGCAAAAAATGTGCAAGGAGCACGCAGGAAAAAAGGGAAGACAAAAATCACATCAGTAAAGCTGAGGTAACTCCTGGAAGAAACTTAAGAATAACTAAAATGCAAGAGAAAGGTCAAATAGAATGAAGAATGCAAGAAAAGCCAAATCACTTGTAATTAAAATTACACTAATGATAGCTACACAACCATATAAATGACTTAATGCCACTAAACTATGTACTTTTTAGAATTAGTTGTTAAGTTTTGTTATCTATATTTCTCTTTTTTAAGTCACTATCAGATGTCAGAAAAGTGGTAGACTAGCAAGCTCCAAGCTCTCTTTCCCTAACTAAACATTACATTCTGACTCTCTTTCCCACACAAGCGCATGTTTGCATGTGTGTGTGCGCGCGCGCGTGCGCGCGCGCGCACACACACACACACACACACACACTCCCCAACCAGAGCTATTTGAACCAATTTTTATATAATATTTTTAGACCTTCATTTTATTTATTTTTATGTGGTGCTGAGGCTCAAACCCAGCACTTTGCACATGCTAGGCAAGCTCTCTACTGCTGAGCCACAACCCCACACCTATTTGAACCAATTTTATAGAAGCTCTGGGAAAACTAAGGATTACAGCAAACAAGCAAAAGTACAATCAATTAAGTCATCTTTAAAATGACAGAAAAGTTGTTTGTCAGTTTRCTTTTTGTTCCACTCCAATGTAGAGAAGTATAGTCATAGTCTTGAGCTGCCATGCCAGCAGACTGGTTTCTATCCCT